AATTAACATCCGACCCCCCACCAACAATCACAGTTGACTGGGGAATTCTGTGATTTTAAGTCCATGGTTCTTAAAGTCGCCAAGGTTGAGAAACACTGGCTTAAAGCATAACGGCCGATTCTTGCCTTGCCTCGAAAGAGCCTCAAGGTGCTTCAGTCCGAAGGCATTGAAGATGGTCTTGCGGGAAGTGGGGAAAAAGGACAGGCGTAGACGTCATCCTAGGGGGCGGAACGGAGATGATCCCTAGCTATCTTAGCCCTAAATTCTGGAGCTTGGCACCTGGAGGTCGGCCGGCTGGGGGATTCCGGGGGTTGAAATCCACACAGGCTTGAGGAGCCCTGATCTAAGCCATCCCACCTCCTGCATTTGCAGATACGCTGGAGCCTTGCAGTCCTAGAGCCCATCACTCCGTGTCCCCTGCGGATCTCCACGGGATGTGGTACCCCACCGTCAGGAGGACCCTGGTCTGCCTCTCCAAGCTCTACAGGTGCATTGATGTAAGCAGTTAACACTTTTTATTTATTGTTATTATATGCGGAGGGACGTAAATCTTTTATTAAGGTGCCCTGTTGTTTCAGATGTATTGCCGGGTAAATAAATGGCACTTAACCAGGTAAAGTGAGGCTGCAGCCGTGTCACCTGGGTCCCTTCTGAAAGGCTGCCTTTCTGCCCTTCTGCAGGGAACCGTCTTCCAAGGGTTGTCTCAGGAGGCTCTGTCGGCCTGCGTTCAGTCCTTGTTGGTGGCTGCAGATTCCATTGCTAAAAGCAAGGTCAGGTATAAGCACTCCTCAGAAGCAGGGGGGGGGGGGGAGGGATTGGCAGCTGGATTCAAGTGGGGGGGGCAGAAGGGTTTGCAGGTTGCCTCCCGTCCCTCTGAGGGTGTCCTCAAAGCTGCTCCTGGTTTCTCTTTTATCAGTTCCAGGTCAGTGCTCTGTGTCCGCCTGCCTTGACATCTGATGTTGTTGTTGTAATTTAGACTCAAATCGACGGACAGCTTTTTCTAATAAAGCACCTGCTGATTCTTCGTGAGCAAATTGCCCCCTTCCACACTGAATTCACCATTAAGGAAATTTCGCTGGATCTGAAGAGGACCAGAGGTATTGGATTGGGTTGAAGGGCTTCAAGGTGCCCCAAATGCAGCAGGGGTGAGAAACCCTTCGGCCAAAGTTCTCCCTCCTGACCGACCGTTCAGCCCTCCTGGGAAACCAGGCAGGAAGCAGGACGGGATCAGCTGAATTCACTTTATTATAAGGCTGCGTTGACAGAATCTTGCAAGGCTGAAAGTACAGGCTTCCTGCCCTCCGTTGTCCATATTGCGTGTGTTTGGCCAGAAATTGGAATGGGTAGATAGTGAATTGTGCACTGTATGGTTTGGGTACAAAATGCATTTGAGTGAAAACTTACCCATAGGCTGATTGTCTCTGGAGGTTCTCAGTCATCCAGGCCATGGTTGTCCCAAAGGTGCTTTAATGCTGTTCCAAGGCGGCTCCACAAACCTCCTGCAGAAAGCACAGCTCCACAACACGGATCCTTTCAGAAGTTCCAAGGAGGCTCCACACCCATTTGCCCCACTCAGGGGACCCCGAGGACACGGGGAACCCTCCAAGCGGCCTCAACAACCCTCTCAAAGGATGCAAAGGACCAGCTCCCTGCAAGGAATATCAATCCTTCCCTTCCCCACCATCCAGTCAGAGCTGAAGAAGCTTCTTGGATGAGAAGCAAAACGTCTTGAAAGAGACAACCAGAAAGTCCAGTTGCCTCCTGAAAAAAGCACCTTTGGGATGATCAACAGGCTGGAGATGACTAAAACATCAAAATTTCATACTGCAATGCGTAGAAAGCCTATGCACGATTTCTATGTGACCTTCAAAATTGACCTGAGAATTCTTAGAAGTTCCATTCAATTTGAACTCATAAAACAAATATTCATAAATATTCCTTAAAACGGTCCTCTCTCCTCAGATGCTGCCTTTAAAATCCTGAACCCCATGACGGTCCCCCACTTCTTCAGACTAAATAGCCACAATGCCATCATCCAGTTCTTACTGGAGGTAAAAGAATGCTTCTTCCCAATGTCAGCCTGCCTGGGGGAATCCCTTTGGGGGCCTGGCCGGCTCTCAAGGCCCCTCTGCATCCCCCTTGCAGGGCACGCCGGAGATAAGGGAGCATTATATCGACTCGAAGAAGGACGTGGACCGGCACCTGAAGCTGGCTTGTGAGCAGTTCATTCAGCAGCAGACGAAGCAGCTCGTTGAACCCCTGCAGGAATTTCTGTCCAAGGTATTGAAGCCGGTTTGGCCTATTTAGATCTGAAATTTTGTTCTTTTCATTTTGCTTCCTGAGAGAGAGAGAGAGAATCTCTGTGTGAATGGGCAGATTCACTGCTGGATGCCCAGTTAAAGCTCTCCGGGGCTTACGAAAGGTTTTGAGCCGACCGAAAAGCTCTCCATGGGATGATACATACCAGGGGTGGGTTTCTTGCCCCGTTCCAACCGGTTCGGTTGGAACGGGGCCGGCGGCGTCCTCGTGCACGCGCGCAGTGCATGCATGCGTACTAG